GTGTTTGGTGTGGTGGTGTGAGGGCTGTGCCTGTCTCGTGTTTGGTGTGGTGGTGTGAGGGCTGTGCCTGTCTCTCTGCAGATCAGCCATCACGGTGTTCCCGCAGCGGACGGACGGGCAGCACGATTTCCGGGTGTGGAACAGCCAGCTGATCCGCTACGCCGGGTACCGCCTGCCCGGGGGGGCCGTGCTGGGAGACCCTGCCAGTGCAGAGTTCACACAGGTACCCTGCCCATCAGCCTCACTGCTCCCAGCTGGGCTAACCCAGCTCCTGGCTTTGTTCCTTGCATGTTGATGCAGAGTGGTAGGGAGGTGAGCAGTGAGTGGGATGCTCTGCCCCACAGGTTCTAGGTGCAGGCTGGAGCAGGAATTTCATACAGTCCTGATGTAAAATACTGTCCTCCATCTCAGAACAGGGTGAGCTAATACTGCCCTGTCAGGACATGACCAGGGACACAAACAGTACCTCAACAAATGTCTCAACATTGTTTGAATGGGAAGGATAACCTTTATCGCTTACAATTTACCTCAGCAGGTTTTAGGGGGTTCAAATTCTTCTGCCTTAGATCTGGAGGGGAAACCTGAAAGAAACACAAAATGTGCTTTCTGTGTTTACAGCTGTGCATCGAGCTTGGGTGGAAGCCGAAATATGGCCGCTTTGATGTACTTCCACTTGTCCTCCAAGCAAACGGCCAAGACCCAGAAATATTTGAAATACCTCCAGAAATTGTCCTTGAAGTGCCAATGGAGCATCCAAAGTAAGCATGCAAGATTTAGATAATTGCATTTTTGCCTCTGCCTCACCTTGGCAGGTTATTGGGCTGTGCCTGTCGCAGTCACTTTATGAGTTCTTTGTCAGGATGAAATGTTGGTAAATTGTCCTGAAAGGTAAAATGCCTGTTACAAAAATGAAATAGATTTTAAATTAAGGAAGCCAATAGCAGTTTTATTGGAAATCTTTTTTTCCCCAATCTACATTTCAGTCATATTCAGAATTTTAAAAATCATCATTTCTTATGCCAGTGTAATACACAAGTAAAATACAGCTTCACTCATAACAAAGTGTTTGTTGCCTTTCTCTCGTTGGTTTTTAATTCTTGTTTGCTTTGGAACTGACCTGCAGATTGCAGAACTCTGTAATATGGTTCTGCAGCTTCTATAGCAGGCAATTCTCAGTTACTGCACTGAAAACTGCTGTGAGCTTTGGCAGACCCTGCTCCGTGGGTCATTCCTCCTGGAACTGGCACTCTTTGTCTTCCTGGGCTTTTGTGGTTATTGCCTCAAGGAGGAAAAGACACACCAAAATGAACCAACGTGGTGTTTTGGCAGGTATGAGTGGTTCAAGGACCTGGATCTGAGGTGGTATGCGCTGCCTGCCGTGTCCTACATGCTGCTGGAGGCGGGGGGCCTGGAGTTCACCGCGTGCCCCTTCAACGGCTGGTACATGGGCACAGAGATAGGAGTGCGAGACTTCTGTGACGTGCAGCGCTACAACATCCTGAAGGTACCTGCTCGGGTGGAAGGGGGTTGGTCTGCAGGGGGAATGAACTTGTTTTGGAAAAGAGACACTACCAGTGTTTGTGGGGGTGGGAGAGAACCACTCCCTTTATGAAACTGGAACAGCCTCAGAACCAGAACTCCAAAATCCAAGTTTACCTTTGATCTCAAGTGTTTCTGCTGCCATCACTTTCCCAGCATGAGACTAATTCTTCCCCCTTCTGGACTAATTTTTCCTGCATATTAGGGTGATGAGGTAGATAAATCATGGGGTCAAAGTTCCATGTAGTTAATTTGCTTTTCCCTATTCTCTCCCCTTTTCACCCGTAGGAGGTAGGGAGGAGAATGGGACTGGAAACAAACAAACTGTCATCGCTGTGGAAGGACCGGGCTGTTGTAGAGATCAATGTGGCTGTGCTTCACAGCTTCCAGGTGAGTCAACGAGTGTGGGAGAGACACTGAACACTGGCTGTCCCTTTTTCCTCTCAATTGCAACAACTTTATACAAATGCAGTGCCAGTGGCCCAATGCTCAGTGGAGATTACAATGTGATTTCAATAGAGTTATTCTTGATTTACACCTGGGAAAGTAGAGAAATCCATATTTCCTCTCGGGTGAAGACAGAAGGGAGAGAAAAAGAAAAGGGAGTTAAGGGCAAGATTTTTCATCCTTTTAACACACTTATCTATGTGTCAAAACCTATGTAAAGCCATTGGATTAATATATTTTATTTTCAATGCCAGTTTATTTAACATACCATGACAATATGAGAAGTGGGTAAAAGTGAATCAGAGGCTTTACAGCATGCACTCCCAGTGTGGGAGAGGGAAATGCTGATGTTAAAGAAAAGATATGAGTCCTTAATCAAAGGACTCTGTAATTATTATCTGATAGTAATTATTTCCCAGCACTGAGTAAAGTCCTTGAAATATTAACCAAAGCAAGAGGATTACTTTAAATACATCAGGTAGAGGAGCAGAATAGGCTTTTTAATGTGTGCTTTTCTTTTTACAATTGTTCTAGAAGCAGAATGTGACTATCCTGGATCACCACTCGGCCTCCGAGTCCTTCCTGAGGTACCTGCAGAGCGAGTACCGCGCGCGGGGCGGCTGCCCGGCCGACTGGGTCTGGATCGTGCCTCCCATCTCAGGCAGCATAACGCCCGTGTTCCACCAGGAGATGCTGAACTATGTCCTCACCCCCTTCTATTACTACCAGGTACACAGCATCAAAACCAAAAGCCGAATCTGGTAGATGAGCTCAGCAGTCCAGACACAATATGAGACCTGAAGGAGTCTGGGTGACAAGGCCTGAGTAATTAAAGTTCACTGGAGAGATTCAGAAACAGCAGACAGGAGCTTTGTATGTGAAAGGTGCTGTTAGTTCTGTTGAATTCTCTGGCTTTAAGTAAAATGCAGTTTAATGCTACAGAGACTGATCCTGTATTTGTAGTCAGTGGATTCTATTTGATCTGGACCTTCAAAGATATACAAATTGTGTACAAATTCAAAGATATAGAAATATGTGTATAAATTGTTGAAGCTTAACTTTTTTTTTAAAGGTGGATGCATGGAAAACACATGTGTGGCATGATGAGACCCGGAGGCCAAAGAAAAAAGAAATAAAGTTTAGCATGCTGGCAAAGTAAGTTGCTCAAATCAGACTCCTCATGCTTTGTCCAGCTATTCTATTCTTGTGGTGTTTCTGTTCTACTTTAAAAAAAAATCAATGATTACAGTAGAGACCACCTGAGTTGTTTGAATCATAGCCTTACCTGTCCACACATTCGTTCCTAAGGTTCTTGTTCAGGCCTATCTAGAGTGTGCTGCTTCTGCACCATCTTCCAAGGAACAGCCTTGCTCAAGATCAGTGTTCCCTAGCTTGTTTGTGAATCAATTATTATACATGGTTCTCTTTCCCCAGGGCTGTACTCTTTGCATCCTCACTCATGCAAAAAGCAATGGCCACCAGGGCCAAGGTCACTGTAATCTTTGCAACAGAGACGGGGAAATCAGAAACACTCGCCAACACCCTGTGCAGCCTCTTCAACTGTGCCTTCAACACCAGGGTAAGGAGTGTAAATCATCCACACTGCATGGAGGAAGAAGTTTGGCTTCTCCAAACCTATGTTTTGAATGTTCAGTAAATAGAAGTTGAAGTAGAACTTTGGTTTTGTGTTCATCTAGCATAATGCCATGTCAGTTTGGTCAGCGTACGTCTGACACCAGAGCTATCTAAGGCTCTTACGTCTGCTAACAGTGTCTCATGAACTTTATTCCTTCCAGATTCTGTGCATGGATGAGTACAATATTTGTGACCTGGAAAAAGAAACACTTCTTTTAGTGGTTACAAGCACTTTTGGAAATGGAGATTCTCCAGGTAACGGAAAGGTAATGTTCCACTCAGAAGTGTGTATGAGACTCAGCTCAAAGACTGACACCAAAGACAACCCTTTCATTTGTCTTATGTCCTTGAGTAAGGTATTAATCAGGGTCACACTTCTGTTTTAAATCAGGGTATTTTCCTAACCTTAAGTATTTTATGAATTTTTATGCAGACCTTGAAGAACTCCTTGTTCACATTGAAACTGCTGAGAAAAAAAATTAGGTAAAAATACTTTGTTATTTGGTTTGCATGTTATTGAGTCCTTTTGCATTTCATGTAGCTTAACACAGCAGTCCTGTTTTTATTTCCATGTGCAGGTATGCTGTGTTTGGTTTGGGGTCCAGCATGTATCCAGAGTTCTGTGCCTTTGCTCATGCCATTGACCAAAAACTGGCCCAGCTCGGGGCTTCCCAGCTCACTCCAGTCGGTGAAGGGGATGAACTCAATGGGCAAGAAGAAACCTTTCACACCTGGGCAGTCAGTGCTTTCAAGGTGAATTTAGAAATATAGCTCGTATTTTAGTTCATTCATTCATTTTAGTTCAGTATTCGCTAGTTTCCCATAAAAATGAGGGAAAATGAAGGAAACCAAACATCTGAATTTATACATGAGTTTGGAACTCCCCTCTTCTCTACTGCTCGCCCAAGTTGGAGAGGGAACTGAGTCCCTTTTCTGTTATTTTTTAATATTCACATGAAGTTGCATGAACCCTTTTGGGTAAAGGGTTTGCATACCCTTTTGGTACAAAAGGTGGTAGCATCAGAATTTTTTACAGTAGAACTTTTTTTACCTATACTGGCATAGAAGTGGAACTGAACTCACTGGATCCCTGTAATATCACTGAACTCAACAGAAGCAGTAGGACATAGCAATCTGTGAAGCTGATAGCTCCTCCTTAGGATATGACAGTGCTAAGATTATTTTTTTTACTGTGAATAGCCTCATTTTTTGTGGTTTTTTTCTAGGCTGCCTGTGACATTTTTAACATCCGTGGAGGACACAGTATTCAGTTACCTGAGATCTACACCTCTGAGGAAAGCTGGGATCCTACCAGTTATAGGACAGTGTATGACTCTCAGCCCATGAACCTGGCTAAAGGTATTGCTCCCACCTTCCCCTCCCTCTGTCTTTGCTGCTTCAGGGGGTCTGAACTGTGAAGGTTTGGCAGAAGTGCTCCTCGCCCTGCCAGATGGTCAAATGCATATAATGAGGGGTAGTGGTCAGAGAAAAAAGGACACTGGTTTACACTGCATAAATGATCTTTTCCAGCACAGTAACATCCCCAGAGGAACAAAAGCTGAGGTGAACTCCTTTTAGTCAGGGACTAGAGCACACAGAGCTGACTGATGGTTGGTCACGTTCTAGGGCCGGTCACGTTCTAGGGCCAGCCATGTTCTGTTCTTCTCTGCATATTCTTTGAAGACACTTTAAACAAACCTAACCACAGAGTTACCATGAGTCATGTCCTCTTTCCTCACCAGCTCTTGCAAGCATTCACACCAAGGATATAATTCCCATGAAGCTGAAATTCAGGCAGAATCTTCAAAGTTTAAAGTCCAGGTATGACACCTCATTCTTTTGAATATTGTCATACTACATTTTACTAAAATCTTAAACATCTAAAATGCCTGGTTATAAACATCTTCTCCCTGCAGTTACTAAGAAATGTGTAGGAATTTTGTACTGTCCTTAGTAGAAGTATGTGAGCTGTTCAGTCTGCAGTGGGGCCACACTTCCACTGGCTGCTTCCAGGCATGTTTATTGTGTAGGGGACAGATCAGGCAGCACTTCAGCACCTGATTTGTTTGGATGCAAGTCCTTCACATGTCTGGACTCTGATTTGTTTAAGTCTCCATGAAGCCCTAAGCTGGTCTGGTATTTGGTAATGAATACAGGAGCCCTTGCCAACTGCCACTGCAGATTTAGTCCTGTTCTGCACAGTTCGAGGGAAATCCCGTCAACATAACCAAGATCTGTCTCATCTCTTCTTCTTCTCTATCCAGTCGTGTCACCATTCTGGTTAAACTCTCCTGTGAGGCTAATCAGGAAGTGCACTACCTGCCTGGAGAACACATTGGGATTTTCCCAGGCAACCAGCCAGAACTAGTCCATGGCATCATTGCACGTGTCCACGATGCCCCCCCAGCTGATCAGACTATCAGGCTTGAAACCTGCACAGATGGTGAGTTGGCTTTCTTTAGACAAAATAACAGAGGATTTTGGACAGATTTCTTTAAAATAACTAAGAATTTTTATTGACAGAATTTGATTCTATGTTTCTTAAGTTTCAGTAGGATTTTGTTGCTGCTTTTTAGTTATTCTTATAATTCTTGATTCTGATTTTGCACACTCTAGCAGTCCATGGTGACTTCACCAGAGTTTGCAGAGGGACCCAAGGTGACACTGTTTGTAATTCAGTTGCTAAATTAGCCATCGACTGCAATTAAATTAATCGACAGTTTACTTATTGTTGCTACATGTCAGAATCCTAAAATAGGCTTATATGTCCTGGCCATCTTCCCCATCTTAGGAGGAACAATCATGGGATTCTGGCACACAGAAAGATGGTTTCCTCAAATTAAAGATTTCTAGTTTCCAAGTGGTGTTTTGTTGTCATGCAGTTCTCTGTGTCAGATCCTCCTATTGCAAAATGTGTGAAACCTCCCATTAACCTCTTTCAGAAGGGTCCTGTGGTCTAGGCCTGCTGCACCTCCCTGAAGGCATATGTTGAGAGACACTGAGTTTTGCAAAGCTCTACAGCTGTCAAACACAATGGGCATTGGCAAGTGGCCTTTTATTTTCCTCATTTCCAGGTGGCTACTGGACCAGTGACAGAAAGATTCCAACCTGCACACTCCCTGAGGCTTTGACATACTTGCTTGATATCACTACTCCACCCTCCCAACAGCTGCTAAAGAAACTCTCCCAGCTGGTGACAGCAGAAGGAGACAGACAGAGGCTGGAAGTGTTGTGTCAGGTAAGCTCTGGGGCTGGAGTTCTGTTTGCAGTACTTTATAGCAGGCCCTCTGATGCCCTTTGACTGTGCAGCAGAAGCTTAAGAATATTTTGTAGAGATGGTGCTGGATTTTTATGCCTCTGTCACATGTTCTGTGTTCTTGGAAAGCCAACCATGGTGAGAGAAAGGGTCGTCTGGAGGCTCAGCTTGGGCGTGGGAATCAGGAGGGTTCAGATCTGGTGTTTCCTGTGTGGTTCTGGGTGGGTCACTGCCTGCCTGCTCTCACCTCGTGGTGGTAGATATTTTTGTCAGAGAATTTGGTACTGTGAGAGTAGGAGGGATATGGGTTTAACTACCAAAGACTCATAGATGTGGTAAGTGCTGGCTCCTCCCTCTGGGCTCAGCAAAGCTCTGTAGGGATCAGGACCTGGGCCTACACAGTTTTGTGGATGTCCCATAACAGGGAGCTGAGAAACAGATTCTGATTCAGTTTCTGCATCCTCACTGAGAGACCTGGTGTCTGAGAACTTTATGGTGGGGATCCTGTACTTCTGTTTTCAAAAATCAAACAATTTCTTAGGAAACCCCAGTATTGGTCTTGGAAAAGTTTTGAGAACTCTCTGTTGATTTGCCTGCATATTTAATTGAATGTAAAGCAGGAATCTTGTTTTTAAGGGACATTTCAAATATCCCTGATCTCCTGAACTCAGCATGACCTGGTAACATTGTGGTGATGCCCTTTGGCTTTTAGAGCACAGAAGAATACAATAAATGGAAGTTTTACAACAGCCCAAACATCCTGGAGGTCCTGGAGGAGTTTCCCTCTGCTGAGGTCTCCACAGCTTTCTTGCTGACTCAGCTGCCATTTCTGAAGCCCAGGTACTATTCTGTCAGCTCCTCCTGTGACATGACAGCCAGAGAGATTCATCTGACAGTTGCAGTTGTAAACTACAGGACAAGAGGTAATGAACTGTTGTTTGCATTTCTCTCTTAATTAAATGATATTTTAGGCTGCATTGTGGTTCAGAAAAATCCTGTGTCTCCTATATGGCATGAAGCATATCTGTAACAAAAACTGTGTATTGTGATACTTGCAGAGTAGTACACTGCAGTGCAGGTGTTCATCCTGGGCCAGGATTTGCTAAAATCTTGCACCATCATCAGTGTATCCTTGGTTTATAAATCATTACTAGACATACACTTATTTAAAAACCATAATTTTAAGTATAAACTGCTTTTTTAAAAACGGAGAGCTTTTGAGTGCTGACAGAGATGTTCTCCCTTGCTCTTTTTAGATGGAGAGGGGCCTTTGCACCATGGAGTCTGCAGCACATGGCTGAACACAATAGCTCTTGATGAACCAGTTCTGTGCTTCATACGCAGGTGAGTGAGGGAGTGCAGGACAGGGAAAAACCAAGATTAAAACCCCGAAAAATAGCAGTTCTTAGTTCAGCTTCTTCAGTGGGCTTTTTTCTTTGCATATTTTCAAGTGACTGGTGAGTACAAGCTGGAATAGCTGGGTCTGAGAAGGGAGGGGATCCCCTGTCTTCCAGAGATGAGATCCTTTACCATGTCTTATTTTGAGTAAAATCATGAATCATTAGAAAGTTCTGAAATAATTCCATTCATATGACCCCATCTTCACTGTCAGTTTATCCACTGCAGAGCACAGAAAGCTGGGGGAACAAGGAGCACCCAGCACCCCGTTCAGCCCATCACTGCCTTCAGACTGGAGACTGTGCTGCTCAGACTGAGTCAGGAAACTGCCACTGGGAGTCCATCAGAAACTCATTACCTAATGAATGTATTTTTACATTTTAGTGCTAATGAATTCCATCTCCCAGAGGAGCCAGCCCAGCCCTGCCTCCTGATCGGCTCGGGAACAGGGATCGCTCCCTTCCGGAGCTTCTGGCTGCAGCGTCTCTATGACCTGGAGCAGAGAGGTACTCATGGGGACTGACACGTGGAGGGGCCCTGGGGGGCCCAGCACAGCTGGCAGCAGAGACATCCCCAGTCCCTCAGACAAGGGCTCTGCAGCCAGGGACACCCCCAGACCCAGCCAAGGAACCCCACAGAGACTTGTCACCCCAGCATGATTGGGCACTGCACTGGCACAGCTAATCCATCCCACTGGAGACCATCCTGCTGCTCCTGAGGGCTTTGGGGACCTGGAGGTCCCCCCTGTGTCTCTGTAAGTCCTGTGTCAGTGAGACTGCCCCTCAGACAAACACCTTCCCCTGTTGCTTTCAGGGATCAAAGGAGGGGACATGACACTGCTGTTTGGCTGCCGACAGCCAGACCTGGATCACCTCTACAGAGAGGAAACCGAGGAAATGAAGAGGAAGGGAGTCCTGAAAGAGGTCTACACAGCTTACTCCAGACTGCCTGGCCAAGCTAAAGTAAGGCTGATTCCCTCATTCTTTAAAGGTTGGTTCCTTCCAGAGTCTCCCCTCAAGTTGAGATCTGGACTCTGTTTACCAATGTTCTTTAAAAATTTTAGTATTTTGCTTCATTGTATTGTGAGCAGGTGACAAAAGGTCTCACTTCTTCAAAGGAAGGGGAATCTCACTGTGCACTCCAGCACAAGCAAGCTACATAAATATAACCCCTCACTGCACTTCCAGTGCAAACAGGCTTTGAAACTAGAAACTGGAACATTTTCAGAAACCTTAGATTTTGCAAGATTTGATCAGTCTGTGAGTTAACAATCAGTTGGCTCTGGCCATTTGTCCCCATTTCAATGACACAGTGACCAAGAAATTAATTTTATGTAGAAATCTTGATTGAACAAAACAACAGCACTCGAGCTATCCTCTTTTCAGCTCTCCTGGAAAGTTATGAGACTTTGCCAGATATAGGAGTCTTAGTCTACTCTAGCTGAATCAAGAGACAGGCCCAGCTTCCAAATCAGGGGCTTGTAAGGGCAGGATGAAGACATTTTTATTCTCTGCTGGAGTAGATGGGGCGTTTAGAGCCTTAGAGCACAGACCCACCCTGAATTTAGAAGAGCCAAGTAGCACTTAAGGAACCTCGTCTGATGGTCCTTTCTCTGTTCTAAGGTCTATGTTCAGGATGTCCTGCAGAGGCAGCTGGAGGCCGTGGTGTGTGAGGTGCTGCAGGGCCAGGGCCACGTGTACGTGTGCGGGGACGTGCGCATGGCCGGGGACGTGGCGCGGGCGCTGCACGCGCTCATCGCCAGGGCCCTGCGGCTCAGCCAGCTGCAGGCACAGGAGTACTTCTTCCAGCTCAAGGTATGCTCTGACACACGGGGCATTCTGTCCAGTCAGTGCCCGGGGGGGGGCCAGCAGCCTGCACAGCCACACTGCTGTGAGCTCCTGTGCAGCCCAGAGCACAGGAGCCAGGGCTCAGTGCCCAGGGTGACTGCACAGGAGCCAGGGCTCAGTGCCCAGGGTGACTGCCCAGGAACCAGGGCTCAGTGCCCAGGGTGACTGCCCAGGAACCAGGGCTCAGTGCCCAGGGTGACTGCAGGCACAGTGTCACTCTGGTCAGGGGGTGACACTGGCTCGTGCAGCTCTTCCCTTACACCTGCTCTCTTCCCTGCTGTCTCCCCGGGGGTCCTGGAGATCAGCTTTGCAGTGGGTCAGGAACATCAGGAGTTTGAGACTTTATTGTACCAACAGGCACATGGTGGGATTGTTGGGGTGTCTGTGCAGGGCCTGGGGTGGGACTGATGATCCTGATGGGTCCCTTCCAACTCAGCATTTTCTGTGATTCCATGAAGAGAGTGAGGTTAGGAATTCAGAGGGCCCATCACTGAGAACACAGTGCCTGGGGCTGCTGCTTTTTAGGACACTCTTGTTATCAGAACTCATCCTGGAGCACGTGTGCCTGGGATCCAGAGAGGTCCCTTTCACTGACAGTAACAAAAGTCTGCAATCACAAAAACAGTCCTACACATGCAAAAGGCCTTTTAGCTACTGAACTGATACATACTGGCAGGACTTAATTCATGTCTTGGATGTCCTTTCTTCTTTTTGCAGAGCCAAAAGCGATACCATGAAGATATATTTGGGGCTGTGTTCCCACATGAAGTCAAAAGAGCTTTAAAACCCACCAGTTAAAGAACAAATCCACTTCTGTTTTAGACAATACTTGCACATTTGTTGTTACTTTCAAAAAACATGGAGTCAAATCCTTTTTCATATACATGTTCAATAGTGCACATATATAGGGTTGTAGGATTTGACTCTTAAACCTCAGCCTTAATTAAGAAAAGCACTAAATTTAACTTTTGTTGCTATTTATTCTGACACTCTTTTAATAGATTATCTTAATAGTGAAAATACAAATTATTTTTTAATATTGTCTATGCTAGTATAAATCTGGTATTTTTTGTAAATAAAAGGAAAATGTAGAATTTTGTACTATGTTAACTAGAGCTGAAATCTTTTTTTGAAATGTACTGTTTATCTTTGTGACTTTATTTATATCAGATTGGTTTATTTGCATATTAACTTCCCTTGGAAGCAAGTGAATGGATGGTTGTGTTACTGGGAGTTGTCTGGCCACAGGCCTTGCTGGATCTGGAGCAACGTTTGCAAATGAGATAATGATGTGCTGGTCCCAGGTGGAAACACCTGCATCTGCTTCAGCTGTATCTGTAGAGCAGGTAGTAGTGTTGAATTGTGCTTTGTGTGATTCAGGTACATGAACCTGAGTTGTTGTTACACAGCCTGTGGCAGGAAGGTTCTGAAAATTCCAAAGCACTTTCTTACATTTGAATCCTATGCTCTGGTTTACTTGATTTGTTTGTAATAAAAGTTGCCTTTATACCAAGACAAGCAAGTTGGTGTGAATCAGTGTTCCTCTTCTTGGCTTCAGCCTGAACAGGCAGAGGTAGCTAAGTCAGCTCTCAGGTTCTACTCAGGCGGGTTTGGGCTCCAGCCAACTCTTCTCCATGAATTCTGCTCCAGTCAGTTTGTTTGAAGCCTGAGCTTTGTGGGTTATTTGGTGCCTTCTTTCAGTGAACCCCCATTTCTGAGGTTCAGAAATTTGAGTTTGGTGTGTCAAGCACCCAGCAGGTCTGGCTGGAAGTTTTAAAATGCCTTCGAGCATTATGGTGCAGCTGGCAGAGGCTGGATGGTCCCTTTTGGTGCAGTTGGTCTCCCTTGGGCTGTGAGTGTTGGCTGCTCGTGTTCCTGGTTCCAGGGGCTCTCTCAGTGGAGGGGCCTTGCTCTGTCGGTGCCTTGGATAACCCAGGGCAGTTCTGGGATACTGCCCTGGGCCAGTAAATATCAAACTGCTCCGGGTCACAGCTGGGGCAGAACCTTCATGCTTGGGGATGGGAGTTTGTGTATTTTGATTTTTTAAATCCAACACCTCTGCCCTTCAATTTTAATTGAGAACTAAATTATTCTTTATGAAAGACAACAAAGTTTATATTAAGCTTTTTATTGCTTGCATATGAGAGATGTAGATAAGATGGATGACATGTAAAGTAGTGCTTTTATGATGCCTTGGGCCATTCCTGGCAGGACAGCACAATGCCATCGTTATTCCCACACAAAGCCTTTGGCAGCAGCAGAACATTCCCAGGATTAATTAACACTCAGCAATGGCACTTCCAGTGCAGAGCAGGGTCTGGCTGGCAGAGCTTTGTCCCACTCTGCAGGTGGGAAGGTGGGGACAGAACCTTGTGCAAAGGAGGGGGAAAGTGCCGGGGGTCCCAGAACAGCCTCGAGTGTGTGGGGGGCAGCTGCTCAGATAGTTCAGTGCTTCAGGAAAACTCAGTGGCAGCTTCATTAACTATTTAACAATGTGGCTCATCATATCTGGGAGGGAAAACTTTGATAATTGCAAATGGACTCAACATCTCTTAAAGTGGCCTCAGTGTCTCCTGGTGTCTCTTGGGCTCTCTGGGGTGGCAAAGGGAACGGGAAATACCAGGAATCCCCTTCTGCTGCAGGGCAGGAGCAGAAGGTGAAGGAGCTTGGTGTTGGGGGGTCACTGTGGGAATCTGCTCCTCTTCTACTTCAGCTGCAAGGAGATGGGCAGGGAAAGGTCAAACCACGACTCAGTAACGCTCACTTTATCCAGAGCAAAGATTTATTCACTGAAAAGATTCCTACATATCCAGAATTCCAGTAGCATAGAGTGCACTCTTAGGGGTTTTTTCCTTTTTTTTTTTTTTTTTGCTGGTTGCATAAACTAATACAGAAACTGTTGTTAATCCTAACAATTTGTAATTAATTTAATAGCAATTCTGGAAGACACTCAGTTCATAGAAAATATAAAAAAAAATTTGTACTGTACAAAGTTTACATCACATTTGAAAAGAAAACGTGTCCATGTTCACCATGTTACAGACCATTTACATTCACTACTGACGTGTGGCTCCTGTAGCAGCATTGTCACAGCTCCAGCGGGAGGGGACAGGACATGTGACATGAACACAACCCAGGGACTGGCTTGGTTTGCTGAGGGACAGCAGAGCCCAGAGCCCCCAGGCCCTGTGGTGGCTCAGCCCAGTGCCACTGATTGACACAAAACCCCAGAGACAGGAACTGGTCTGTCCTCTGGGCTGCACTGGGACCAGAGGCTGGGCTTGGTGTTTTAAGGGCAATTTATGGGAGTTCCACACACCACCCAGGTCAGGTCAGATTAGAATGCCAAATTCTGTTAGAGGCAGGTTTTGAACAACCCCCCGTGCCCAGGACTGCAGCAGGGCATGTTCCCAGCTCAGTGGGACACGTCCCAGTGTCCAGCACACTGATCTGGGGCACAGAGGGGCAGGAAGGGTCCCCACAGCCAGGGTTTGAACTGCATGTGAGGGCAGTTGCAGGAAGGACAAATGGTGACAGTCTGTTGGGTTTTTTAATTCTTTGTTTCAATCTGGTTGCACACCCAGTGCTGGCTGTGCTTCCCCAGCCCGGCCTCTGAGACAGAACCTGAGAACATGCTGAGTTCCCACCTGAACATCCCGGGTGTCCCCGCTCTCGGGGACACGGACTGAGCCCAGGGGCTGCAAAGGGACAGGCTGTAGGAAGCCCATGGGGGGTTCCAGAGAGGCAGCACTCCCTGCTTTGGGTTTGTGCTGTGCTGCTGTAATTCAAGCAGCACTTGTGGGAAAACATCTTCTGCTTAAAGCTGCTGACACAATTACTGAGAGAAAACAAACAGTAGCGAGTCCTGCAGAGCCCGAGGGTGCAGGTGAAGCTGCTGTGCCAGGAGGGGCTTGATTTGCCTTTACCAGGGGAGAGGAAGGAGAGCAGAGAGGACTGCAAGGCCACACCTGGCCATGCCAAAGCCATTTCTCTTTTATATCCAAGACACATTTCAAAAGTCTCTGTCAAAACACTTGGAAGAGGCTACAGCTGACACACAGGAGTGAAGGTCTCTGCTCAACAGAACTCAGGTTTTGTGCCACTTAGTTCCCCACACAAGGAGCCGAACCGAGGGCTGGCACTTTGGCTGCCCACAGGATTTTAGAGCTTCCCTCCCCAGGCCTCAGGTGAAATCCTTGTGATGGTGGGGGAGGGGACCTGGGGGGTGTAATGAGCTGCTGCAGTTGGAGAAATGAAATCTGGTGAGTCCCAGGGAGCCCTAAGGACCTGTCTCAGCAAAACCAGGGCTGCACAGACAAGAAGGGCCTGAATGGTTGTGGGGTACTGGGGGTCCTCCCACAAGCTGAGGAACGTGGATGGGAAGCACGAGGGAGCCTCTGGTAAGAGAGACTGGAGTTAATTGGCAAGAGGATGATGAATCCATCACCTCAATGTGGTCACTGGCTGCTGGCTCCATAACCCCCACACTGTGCACTGGGGGGGGGGGGGGGTTTGGTCTTAAAACAAACCTTTGAAACAAGTCTGAGCTGTTGGACTGAGGCAGGGCCTCCAGACCCTTCCTGGTTGCAAGATTTCTGTTGTTTTTAAGTTTTTTACCCAAAACAACTGCTGGAGTCCTGTATTTTTCACAAAGAGCTTGAGGTTTAAATGGGACTGATGGTAGGTGGTGGCAACACTGTGTATGTGCAATGACTCTGAAGCTCTTAACAAGCTCAGTGCATCAAGGCCTTACTTAATGCATTATTTAGGGCCAGTTTTTCCCTTTTCCTGTCTCTCTCTTGCCAGGTACACCCTGGTCCCTGAGCAAAGACAATCCCATGATGGGTTTGCCTTTCCCCATGGGAGGAGAAACCCACACTGACTTCCCCAGCCACTTCCCTGTGTGTAGGATGGGGACCTTCTCTCCTTCCATAGTGTGCAGGGGTTTTGTTTGGGCAGGACCAGGGCAGTTGGCAGATCCCCTGGTGTTGACCAGCCAACAGTGATGGGGCTGGAAGGGTCGAGGCTGTTGGACAGTGTTACGTTTCCAGAAATGCCACAACTTTAGGGGACTGGAACTTGTGCCTAAATTTCAAAAGAAGAATTTGCCCCCTGTGCAGAGCTGTGACGTGTCATGGGTTTATTTTTAAAAGCCAGCAAGTCTCGATTCCTCTGGGACAGTATGAGAAGGAGCAGGTTTTAGTGTGAGTTCTGTGGAGAAGAGCACTTGAGTCACTAACTGAGCCAGCCCTCCTGCAGCAGGACATCTGTGCTGAGTTCAGGGTGACCCAGAGCTGGACCAGCCCTGCTCAAACAGACCTCAGGGCTCAGTGCCTGCTTTGGGCAGGTCCCAGTGCAGCAGGCTGGGGCTTTACCTCCAGGAAGGAAAGCCCCCCCGGGAGGCAGTGCCTTGTAGGAGCCACGTCGCTGTTCTGCAGCAACTGTCCCACAGCTGAGGGAACCCGCAGCTCTGAAGGCAGAGCGTGGCTCCTACTGACCACAGACACAAGGAGGAACCAGAAAACTGTTCTTCTATCTCAGTGCTATTTGGGAATGGCTGTAGTTAAACTTGATTCACTGTTTATTATGTTTAAAAAAATATAGTTCACACAAAAGTATCATGTAAACATTGTTTAAATAACTGCTGGTGCTCAGGCAGGACACAGGGCTGAGCTGATGGTCTTCAGAGGGGCTGCACCAGCCTCGGCACGGAGGAGCCACTGAGGGTTTCTGGTGCTGTGTGGGAGCAGAAACAGGTCACAAGGACACCCGGCTACAGCTTTGGGTTACTTGGCTCCAGGATCCCCAAGCCAAATCTTTCAAAACGCAGGACAACTTTGCTACTGTTAATGCTGCAGAGAGTGGGGAGGGAGAGGAGAAGGAGGGGGGAAAGTGTTACTGATAATTCTTCTTAAAGCTACAGCCCTATCCAAGGAGCTGAAATAGGTTCAGTTCTGCTCTCGTACCACCCAAAAGAGGCTCAAGTAATTAAGCAGCAAACACATGAAGTTATTCATGTGAACCCCATCAGTGGGAAGAAACACACAGACAATCTGATTTGCTCAAGCAGGAGGAACAGGAGGTTTTCCTAGGTACCCACAGTGGGGGGAAGCCTGACACCGGTTTTCAGGGAACACTTGGTTCCATTGAAGTAGAAGGGAATCAAAACCTGACAGAATTCTCTTTGTAAGAGAAAGGGGGGGTTTGACAAGGTACATGAATAGGTTAAAAAAGCCCAACAGAACAAACCCAAACCCCTTTGCTCCTCTATAAAGGTGTCTCTCCCCTTGCTCTTACGCTGTTGACAGAGCCAGAAGCACTTCCAGCTCAGAGCCTTTCCTGCAGGGGTGGCAGCAGAGCACGGCCTGAGCATGGAGGAGACTCAGGGAGTGGATCTGGGTGTTTGTCCTCAGACAGCAGAAACCCTGCTGGCTCTTAGTGCATGTTCTCCTCTGCCCCTGTCCTGTCCCCTCCAAAGCAGTGAAAAAAGACCTTTTCTGAAAGGCACGTGTTTGCTGTGGTACCTGTGACTCTGCCAAGCCCCCACGAGAGTCCTTCTGCTGACCAGGGGATGTAAACAGAAGCAAACCATAACATTCCAAGCACTACATCTGCGAGGGGAGGAGGAGCTGAGGGCTTTCCTCCTCTCTTACACAGCGTTGTAGCTGATCCCAGCTGAGCCCCACGGGCCCGTTCTGGACACTGCCCATGGCCTGCTCCCGGTGGGCTAAGGACCGTCGGCTACTCCAAGTGGAGCAAGGACCATCCTTTCCACTCAAGAACTGGCCCTGGCTGCAGTGCTGCCCCCCAGCCCTCAGCTCCTGCTGGTTTGCAAGTGGAGGTTCAGTCCTGGCTGTGCCACGACAATGTCCCTGTCACCTTCAGCCCCAGAGCCCCAGCACTGAGGACACGGCGCAGCCTCAGCGGAACCGGGACCGCGGGACACGCCCCGGTCACTGCAGTGAGGGCAGCACTGACCTGCCAGGCAGGACACCCAGCCCTGGCTGGCATGGGCACCTGGTCAGGCAGGGCAGGTCCCTGCACCTTCCCAGGGGAGTCACAGGCTCCTGGAACGCTCCAGAGGGAGAGGAGGCCGCGGTGTTAGGCAGGAAGGTCTCGCAGACAGGAGTGGTTATTGAAGCAAACAGCCCACACCAAGCAAAGGCAGAAAGGAGAACTCGGATAAAGTGTTGATTATGTCCATGGGTTAATTTCGTGGTTTGTTTTTGCTTTTTTAATGGAAGGTGATTGTCCAAGTTGCTGGTTAGGATACGACACATGGAAGCATGCAAGGTGGAGCCCATTATTGCACCAGTAGCTACAACCTACAAAGAAATATGGGAGGGAAGGGAAAAAGTCACCATGAGAGTTAGTTTTCAGTTATTTAAAGCAAGCCCTTGAGAACTACATATTGCAAAGCTTTGACCAGGCTGGAGCAGGGGTTAGTGCACTGTGTGAAAGGACCTGTCAGAGGGGAGGGACACGTGTCTTCAGGGCCCTTCCCCTGCTGTTGGTGGATACTCTCTGACACCAAACAGCTGGATCAGTTTGGATCTGCTGGAGGGGGGTGAATATGGCGAAGCGGGCACTGAACTGACTGAGGTGGCTTAACTGCATCATTTCCCAGAGCCAAAGAAGCAGAAGAGCACAGTGTTCCCCTCCTGTCTGGTCTGACAGCCCCCAAGAAGGCCAAGAAAGCTCAGAACAGTCATTTACATGGAGTGACATAACTGCTGGGAACAGCAGCAGGTACTCACTCAGCAGACTTCCAGAAGTGCCCCGGGTGGGAGAGCCGGCGGTTCAGTTTTGGCAGTTTTTCAAGCATATCCATGAGGACAGTGAAGCTGGGCCGCTCGCTCAGGTCGAAGGCCCAGCAGGCCGAGAGGATTTCCTGCAGGGGACATTTGGGGCTCGTTACCTCACTTGGCTCACAGGTCAGCTGTGCAGACCAGAAAGCTGACTGAGCACTGAGATGTGTGTGAGCCCAGGCAGACACTGACTGCTCAACACAGGGCCTGGACACCCTTACAACCCAACAGTTTCCTGGTGCTGGGGAACGTCCACTTCTGCACAACAGCTGGAAGCACAGGCTTAGCCTCTAACCTGGTCTGCCATTCTCATCTGTCCTCTTTCCTGCCCTTTATCTTTAGAGTTATGAGTGAAATAAATCTCTTGAAGCAGCTCCCCTCTTCCTGAGAGACAGCTGTATGGAAGGACTCCTGCCCTGGGGTACTTACATTGACCTCCTTGCCCAGACTGACGGTTGCCAGGAGCTGCCTGACGCCCTCGCCGCTGCCGATCTGCCAGATGAGCGCCTGGGCAGGCTGGGTCCTGAACGGCCACTCCCGGGCCTGCAGCTCGTACCACACCGTCCTGCAAGGCCAACACACACATCAGGCCTTTGCCTGCCCCAGGGGAACACACCAAACCCTGACACTGCTCCAGCTTCTCCAGCTGAGCTACAGAAGGTGCACAAAGCTGTGCAGCAAACTCCTCCCACCATGACTGTTGTAGTACTGAGGAAAATGCATCCCCAGCTGGGAGAAGGGGATCCCTGACTGGAAGTCTCAGGCCTGTAACAAATCTCACTTAGCAAGGTCTCGTGATACTCTTGGGTGTTCCTTCCTTACCCAAAGGCATAGATATCTGCAGCTTTGGAGAAAGGCAGCTTGTCTTCATCTTTCCCTGGGGCCATCTCACGGACGATCTCGGGGGCCAGGTAGCACAACCAGTCATGAGGCAGCTTCAGTTCATTCTCCCTCCTGAGTCCAAAAGAAAGCAGCAGTACTGAAACACTGGTGTGTAGGTTGTATCTGTGCTTCACCTGATGCTTTGACTTTATTTACTCAAATGTTTTTGCTGACTATTTGTTTCTCATTTTCTGGCCACGTTAACAAATAAGCAGATGTCAGCCTGACTCTCCAGCCCACGCCTGGGCTTAAAGTTTTGTTTATTCTGTGCTCTGAGTCTTAATCCATCCATAACTTTCTAGCTCTGTGCTGCTGGAACTGTAGGAAGAAATCTGCTCAAAAAGAAAACAAAGCAAAAGTGCAGAGTGCAACCTGAGTGTGCACTAAAGCACCTCACACTCCTTGGTACCAGGTACTGCAGGAACCATTTCCCTATTTGATCATCATTTGTCTTTCTAAAGGTGGACCAAGCAGTGAAACCTCTGCTCACCTTCCTTCCTGAACCACACCCGAAATTCCAAATAATCCAAAGTCGGTGATCACAACTTTGCCATTGTCATAGAAAACATTCTTGGATTTCAGGTCCTTATGTACGATGCCCTTTGCGTGGAGATACCCCATGCCCTGGGAAATACAGCAGAGATGGAAATGTTGGAGGGGTTGGTATTATTGCCAAGCACACTTTGCTTTCTAATACAAACCCCCTCTCATACCTGCAGTGTAAAGGATTAGTTGGGGACAGGGCACTTGTGGGACTTGTGCAGGAAGGTGTAAGGGAGCAGCTCCCAGCTCAGAGTGCAGCCCCCAAGCTCTGGCCCAGTGGCTCAGCTGGCATAATGAGCCCTTACCTTGATGATCTCCTGTGCTATCTGCCTGGTTTTGTTAATGTCCAGGGATATCTTGGGGTCCCTCACAAAGGAGTGCAGTGTCCTTCCTTTGCAGAAGCTACAGGAAATTTTTGCACGTTAAAAAAAAATTAGCCAGCTATATATAATATTTATATTTTAAAAATAATAGTAAGATGCTGTCCTTACCTGGTAATGATTGCTAAGTGAGGGGGGTTCATGCAGGCTCCCATGAACAGCACCACGTTCTCGTGCCGGGTCTGTCTGTAGTTCATCACCTCCTTTTTAAAGAGCTTGAGATGATCCTGGTTGTTGCCATCGATCTCCAGCAGCCTGATGGCCACCTCCCCGTGCCACTTGCCCTTGTAGACCTTCCCCCAGCGGCCCTGGCCGATGGGGTCCCCCAGCTGGACCTGCTCGAAGGGGATGTCCCACTCCTGCAGGTACACGCTGGTCTGGCTGGGTTTGCGGTAGATCATCCCCTGCAGGTGCGGCCGCCGGTTCGGCAAATCCTCCACCTCGTCCTCGTCATCCTCGGGCTCCGATTTATTTGCCTCTGGTTCTTCCACCTGTTCACAGCAAGGGAAGGGAAAGGTGTGCTCGGAGTGCCACGGGGGGGCAGAGCAGCCCAGCAGCTGCTCCGAGAGACATTCGGGGCCAAACTGCGAACCCACCTCTGCCTCCCGTCCAGCTCCACCCGGGCCTGGCTGGGCAGTGCTGCAAGAGAAAATAACATTTGAAATCCACCTGAGGTGGAAAACTGAGAGGGTTGCATTGCCATTAGGGGAGGGGGAAGAAGCCAGCAGAGAACAGATCCTGGCAGAGTTATAGTAGGTCAGACAAAAATACAATTCCTGCTCCACATAACAGAGAAGGACTCTAAGCTCACTCTAGCAAACAAGGGACAAAGAGTCTGAAGTGATTCTCAGTGATTAAGTGGCAGGAATTGATTTGGCAGTGGCTCTGTTATTACAGTGTGTTCCAGGAATGGATACTCCCATTCCTGCTCCTGAAAGCCCTGCAGTGGAGCAGCCCTGTGAGAGCTGGCAATGCAGCCTGCCAGCTTTTCCATGCCCTGCACTTCACATGCTGAAAGAGCTGTTTGCTTGCAGCTCAGTGGGCTTTGCCCCTTGAGTTATAAAACTCCAACTTCTGTTCATCCCACCCTTCTGACCTGGGGACTGCACACCCCCCATAACCAGGTATTAAAGGCTTGGACTCCTTAGTGTCCCATTTAGAGTTAAGTGTCATGTTAAGCTTTATAAAACTGGGGATACCAGCATCACCCTTGCTGAATAAAATTATCTTGTGAGTTCTCAGATGTTAAGACCAGTTTTGGCCCTAACACAGCATTTCTGGACTGAGCTGAGGATTATCAGGTAAACACTGTGCAAACAAAAGGATTTCAAACTCTACTTACTTAGTGTCTGCAGCAGTTTCTGGAGGTTGTGCTGTTTGTGCAGGACTGGGAATTTCTGTGAAAGTAGAAACAGTGACAATACATCTTTTACACTTCAATCTCATAGATTGCAAGTTTTAACATTGCAATACCAATTATTTCCTTCTTATTCAGGAATTATAAACTCAATTACAGACAAAGTGATTTTATACTTCATTTAAAACTATGCTCATCTCTCCTGTCCATGTTGGCCCAGTCCTCTTCCCATTCCCCTACTGATCTGTAAAGTCTTTCTGGCCAGGCACAGAACCCTAAAAGTGAGTCTTTTTAAAGGAGGAACATGGATGTGGATAGAAGCCCATAGCAGGAAGCTAATGTTGTACAGCTGAGTGTTCAAAGTTTCATCTCAGTACATAAATCACATCAATGCCCTGGCTCAGGGGAGAGAGAGGCCCAAGTATACACTGAGATAAGAGAAAGTCTGAATTGGTTTAGACATGTTTTTTTAAAGCAGGATTATTGTTCTTTGGCAGCATGCAGATGTTTACAAACAGGTTGTGTTTTGGCAGTAGAAGTTGGTTAGTAGAATTAAAACAATCAACTCACCTGGGAAGATAAACTGTTGTCTATGCTGAAGGTAGTAGGCAGCTTTTTAATTAATTGGGGTTTTGTAAAAGAACCGCAAAAAAAAAACCACCAGGAGAAAAAAACAAAACAACACAAACAAGTTAGAGGATCATCAGTGAGTGCCCCAAGTGCATTCCACGAATTAGTCCCAGCTCACTGCTGGGAACAGATTAGTAGATTATCAGCCTGCTGAGGGGGAATTCCAGCACATGCATTGGGAGGCCCCTGACAGAGGACAGGTATCAAACACAAGCTGTTACCAGTCACAGTCTGGGGGGCAAACAGCACATTCAGACCCCCAGTGGCAGAAGCAAATGTAGGGCCCAGGAATGTCCAAGGCAGGCCCACGTGCTGCCTGGGACTGCTGCAGTGCTCTCTCATGTCAGCCTTGCAGAGGTGCCCCCCCAGAAGCTGAAGCTCATGAGCCATCTGCATTTTTTTATTTTTATTTCAGTTTTTTAATTTCTGAGTAGTTTGTCCCAATACAAAGCAGCTGCAGTGGAATCCTTACACTAAACTGGTTCTGTTCCTGCTCTTTTTGAGCAGGCTCAAACAGCAACTTGCACTCACAGTTCAGAACCTGATGCAAAATTCAGCAGTGTTGAAGGCCAGATGTAGCAGCTACTGAGCAGCATCTGACTTCAGTTCCACATCAAAGGAGTTACATTTATTCTCAGTATGTGAATCTTTGCCCTTGTCAGAAATTCTTGCCCCTCTCAGCTCTGGTAAAAGTTGCATATTGGCACTCTTAATCCATAAGGCATGTAGAGTAAACTCTTCTCCACCAGACATCTGTGTCAATGGTTTAACAAGGGGTGTTGACTGTGGCTTATATTTTGGAATGGCCTGGTAAAGTCCTTCACTGTAGTTCTCATTTTTACAGCCTGCTCCTGCCATCACCCAACTCCTGATTTAAAGCCCCTGGTGAGCACACAGCAGGCAGCATGCATTGTACAACACAAGGGGAAAGGCAGGAGAAAATATAATTTTATTTTAGTCCTTTTCCAAAAAGGAGAAAAGAGAAAGATCAAACCATTTAAGAAAGGTGCCAACATTCCTCAATAATCTGTTTCCTACAAAGGTCTCTTGCTTATACCCTTCAAAAACTTGTAAGAACAGACCATGTCCTTTTATCAGGTAACAAAATACACCTTCACACCTTGCTTAGGGCACAACCATGTACTCAGAAACCTTCAACTCCCTGGTCAGCCTCTACTTGCAGAGGCCTTTCTGCTCTGGACAGGTCTCCTAAAGAGAGGGGGTTACCTGGGAAGTTAAAGCGCCCATCCCTCTGGCCCATGGGAGAGGGGTTGGGGGGAGGTGTCGCACTGGGAGGGTTGGAAGACTGGAAAGGTGCTGGGGAAGATGGAGTAGATGAGGTTGTAGAGGAAGGATTACTGCTGGAGTCCAGGTGGTTTATTGCTGGTGGATGCTCCTGCAAAGCAAGGAAAATCACTGGTGAGAAAACAGCAAAAAGGACGAATTGCCCTCAGTGTTTGCTGGACAACAGAGAGGGAAGTTGTTCCCAGCCTTGATCGTGGCATTTTGGCTCCAACCACCAAGATCTTGCTGCCACCACGTACCTTTTTAGTTAGTGCTTTGGGGAGAGTTCCAAACTGTGGTTCTGTGGGTCTGTCTACTGGATTATTGATATCAGACGGGACAGACTCTGTTCTTCTTATTTTTGCTACTGAAAACAGGTTGAAGAAGGGAGAAAAACAGGTTAAATCAGAGTTCTTATTCTTGCTATACCATCAATTACATTGAAATGCCAAGAATTTGTAGAAAATTACTTACTGGGAAGGAAGGATATTCTACAAGCAGGTGCCTCTTTAGTACATTTGTTGTGACATTTTAATCTGAAAGAGAACCATTACATGTTAAATAAGGACCTGTTCTTTCCCAAAAGGAGGAAGCCTACCCTTAATTTGTAATTCTTATGCTAATCTCAGAGGGAGTTCTGGAATGCCCGGGCCCCAAAGCAGCAGCATTCATATGGAGAATCCTATTATGTGTGTCATTAGACTAATGAAGGCCATATACATATCTTAGCATCTGATTTATTTTTAATATAGCTACTTTCACTGACTCTCATCCAGCAACAGTGAAGCACTAAAATCTCAGTGCTCTGGACTAACAACCCAGAGAGAGAAGCAAAAATTAAAATCCTGGCTGTTATTTAGGGATCCAGCTCCCACTGCAAGATTTGCCCAGGATGAGGTAGGAAGTCTGTGGCAGGGAAATAAATTTGGTTCATTCATGTGTCAGGCTGACAGCCTGAAGTGTGAGTTGTTCCAAAGCATCCCTTTGCTAGGTCAGAAGGACTGAGAAATGGTGCCACTGCCAAGAGTGCATCCCACCAAGAGCTGTGTGACTGCAGGTTGTAATGAATCCAATTCCAGGTTGTTGTTGTGACCATCCCTGCGTGCTCACCTGCAGTACTTACACTTCACCCCGAACATCATGCTCTTCTGACAGACTTGGCAGATCTGAGAGAGCCAGGACTTTGTAGAGAACCTGAGACAAGAGGGGGAAACTGGTGTTAACTGGTGCCTAAGGGAAGATGAACCTTTGTGGGTAGTTACAGGCTGTACTTGAGCTCTTTGTGAAAGGGGCAGGGGGTGGTTGGTGCAGAGCCCTGGCTGGGCTGATCCAAACCCACCTCAGAGCCGTGTCCCCTGGGCTGTCCTTGTGTCCCCCCAGGCTGTCCCTGTGTCCCCTGGGCTGTCCCTGTGTCCCCTGGGCTGTC